CAAACCACCCTCCCCTCCGCCTCCGAGTCTCAATATACCCCTTGTAACCCTGGTTGAAATGTAACCTTTGTTTGCTTTTTCACGTCTTTACCAAGCCGGTTTATCAAGCCGGTTTCTCTTTTCGAGATGACTTACCATGGATGAATAATCTACCTCATGCGTCATGCGAGGCCAGCTTTCTTGGGTAAACTGTTTACCTGACGCCACTGGAAGCATCGACCAGGTATCCTCGATAGCTGTAGTGTCTAGATCATGGTGATCGAGGTGAGGCTGGTTCTCCGCGAATCTCGGACATGGTTGGCCGAAGTTGCCAAAGCTGTTACTTCGAATGCGATGGCGATTGACCTTCTAGACCGACGGCGCCGGCCAAGATTAGAATGGGGCATGTATTTTGGAGACTGGGAGACAAGCTTAGAATCTCAATCCAAATTACTTACGTGACGAGAGGCTGAGGATGAACCGGCTGAAACTAATTCAGTCCCTGAAAATGCGTGGTGATAGTCGGCAATATGCGAGTCTGCAGGCTCTGATAGATAAGACGCAGTCGATAGAGAAGCAGCATGATTGGAGGCCAGACTCGATACGCTTTGGGCTTGTTCCGGCGTGCCAGATACCACAGTGCTCGGTGATGTGGAAGTAGATAAAGCGGTCGCAGGCGGCCAGTCGACTACACTACCATAGATACCGATATCTGACTGGTCGACTCCGTCGAAGTCGGATGAAGTGGAAAAGCGCTTGGCTCTCTGTCGGTATCCTGCGGTGCCATTTGCGGCCAAATCTTAATCTTCTTCCACTATTGCAATAATAAGAAATCTGAATAGCATATCAACTTGCTATGTGAAAATTGGGGTTCGCGTCCAACTGTCTTCCACGGCTGAGCCAACAACTGAAAGAGGAGAGGGTAATGAGAATGACAACAGTGAAATAAAAAGAAAAGACGAGAAACCATGCTTACTGTAGCGTCGTTGTGCCTCTCGATTCTGAGACTTGCGCTTAGCCTCGTAGAAGTTGGTATCGCCATCAGCCACGTTCATGATTATTTGGCTTTGGGCTTATGAGAGCCTCGTACAAGATTGCAAGTCCCCCACAATGGGCTTCTCGAGTGCTTTGCGTGGGTGTCCTGGGTCTGGGATGGTGTTACTGAATCATCATTACAAGGGGCCATAGCTCTCATTACCTTGGCTTGCAAAGACAGTGGGCCTTACCAAGGTGTTCTGGGGAAAGTCTCACAATAGAGAAAGTCTCTTTCGAATCTTCTTAGACCGTCTTCACCCCTGTCAACCCACTGGAGCTCCTGCTTCCAAGCTGGATTGTATTAGCAGGGCTACATTTGCTAACATCCAGGGTACTTGACATGGAGTGAAAGTTTAGCACAGTACGGACACCCTCAACTCGACATGAAGCTTCGAAGGACGACGTCTACCATAGGCCTTTTCAAGGTCTTGGAAAAGCCGATTTCAGATTTGAAGTCATGATGTTGCTGACGCAGAGGGAACTCGTCTATCATTCTAGATACTCGTTTGGGCAGGTGTTGCAAGGCGGCCGGCTGGTTGACTGCAGCACGTTGCATCGCTCAAAAGGGGAAACCCTCTGTCGATCAGCTATCAAGGTTCTCAAGCCTGATGGCATGGTACCATTTGTTGTTTTGGAATTGCTGTATCCTGCTGGCAGCGAGAGCTTCGTCCACACTTCGGCGGCGTGCACTGTAATCATCTGTGTGAACGTACCCATGCATGCGCCATACAAGTATCCTACTAACGAACCAACGACAAGTTGACAAGGGGCGCATAAAGATGAACGGAATTCCCCCGGTCCAATAAGAAATGGAAAAGCTCAAATGAATTTCGTGCAGTGGCGGGGCCCAGCAGATAAGACGGCATCATTATTACCTGTGCCTCGGTCCTGCAACCGTCAACAGCTTCGCTATTCAGTAACACGAGCTTCGAAATAAGCATATTTGCTGTATCTCGAAAAATTCAATCTTAACCAAGGTTTGGAGTCTCGACTTTACTTCACCGATTCAACTTGACAGCAGGCGGTCTACCTTCATCCTCGATCGTCGCGACAATGACCGGCACCGGCAGCTCGTGTGGTCCTAGTGAGGACAACCTTTTCGGCCCTGCCGTGGCTCCTTGTCAAAGAGACTTTGATTTTACTCTTCTGTTCGAAGATTACATCTTCATCATTGGACCAGGGGCTGTCTTTTCCCTAGCAGCAATATTTCGTCTCTTGGTACTACGAAAGCGGACACACGTCGCTCGCTGTGATCCAGTATATGCTGCCAAATTTGTGTGTCCAACATCGTTCCTCGCCATGCTCCGGCTAGCAGTTTTACGTGCGAGTGCTGATGGTCCTTTTCCTTCTCTTTAGTTTGCTTTCCTTGTTCTTCTCGGGTTGCAGATTGGCATTGTTGCTGAGACTGCTCTCCCATCCCTTGCACTCCAAAGCGGCGCATCTCTCCCAGCCGCAATCGTGTCCCTACTTTGCACAGCATGTGTCTGCATCCTCTCACATTACGAGCACGTGAAAACGCCTCGACCGTCATTCCTCCTGACCTTGTTTCTGTTGATTTTTCTCCTGCTAGATGCGGCCAGAACTCGAACGTACTTCTTGGTCAACGCCACGGGTCTGGCGGTCAGCACACTTATCGGCGTTATGGTCAAGCTCGTTTTGCTCTTTCTAGAAAGCAGGGAAAAGAAACGAATTTTGCTGCCACCGTATCAAAATAAGTCCGCTGAGGAGTTAGCTGGTCCCATCAACAAGACGCTTTTTCGCTGGCTGAATGACCTTCTAGTCCGGGGCTATAGGGGTTTGCTAAAGCCGGATGATATCTCTTCCATCGACCACAGACTCTACTCGGCATTTCTTTCTGCAAAGTTCTCGGGTCTTGGCAGATTTAAAAAGGGTACGTCCGGCTCTAGAGCGATATCTGTCGCTTTATATCGAAAGTTTCTTGAGCCTCTGTTGACATGGGCCCAGGTAGTGATTCACCGAAAAGTCTCGCTCATCTCACTTGGAGATGTTTAGGAGACGCGCTCCTCGGCCCGGTATTTCCACGGATTACTGTGACCGGCTTCACATTTGCGCAGCCATTTCTTGTCAATTCGATGCTAAGCCAGCTTGATGACTCGGCATTCAAGCCGATCAGTCACGGTTACGGGCTAATTGGTGCCTCCGCCCTGATTTATATCGGTATTGCGGTGAGTGGTGGCCAGCATTCGCCTCCTAGTGTTTTATCTAGCCTCACTCCTTGAGGAGCATTCGTTTTTCGTACAGTGACTAAGACCCGGCGATACCACAGGTTTCATACAGTTGGTACTGGCATCAAACATACCGTGCTTTGGTTATGGTCCGCGGTGGTCTTAGCCTTGCGATATTCGACAAACTGCTGCTTATGGCGGAAGACAAGAGTGCTGAGCCACGAGTTATGACCCTGATGTTCAATGATGTGCAAAAAATTATGACAAGTCTCATCTACGTCCACGAGTTATGGGCGGGAATAATCGAGACGGGCCTCGCAACATGGCTCTTGTATAGGCAAACAGGGGCCGCTAGCTTCGGCATGCTTGGTCTAGCTGTAGGTATGGAACCGACTGATGCGCTCTTTCGTCACGTTTTCGTGGGAACCTACACAATGTAACTCCTCAGTTGAGCTAACCTGACTACTTTCTAGCGATTGGGGCCTCGTGTTCATGGACTACCCGTAAGGCGAGTCCCAGACAGCGGTGGTGGCTGGAGGCAATTGAACGCCGGCTCAGTGCCACGACAAAGATTGTTGCGTCCATTAAACCAATCAAGATGCTCGGTGCAGACATACGGATTGCTAAAGTCTTGAACCGGCTCCGGATCGCCGAGCTGGTAGCAGCCTGGCCCTTGCGTAGTCTGCAGATTCTAACGTCGCTTTTGTGTAAGTGAATCTTGGCGGATGACTGGCTACAGTCACTGTGGGTTTGTGGAAAAAGGAGTACTGACGCTCCAAGCGTATACTACTATGACATTATCTCCTCCCCTGGTCTTCGCAATTTACCTGGGTATCTCAGGTTCTCATGCAGACTTCACCGCCACTAGAATGTTCACGTCCCTAACTCTCATCAGTCTCCTATCCACCCCGTTGGTTCACATGTTCCAAGCACTTCCTTCATTCGGGGCGGCATATGCATGTTTCAAGAGAATACAAACATTCCTGGAGGCCGAGGAGCATCAAGATCCAAGGATCTTTCAACTCATGGGAACTCCTTCAGAAGGGTCCGCGCAAGTGCCATGTACTGATAAAAGCGATCACAGCCGGTCTTCCACGAGATCTGACGACAACATGGTCATATCACTATCAAATGCTTGCTTCAGCTGGACAAAGGATACCCCTCCGATACTTGACAACATCACGTTACATATCGAAGCTGGAATGCGTGTTGCTATTGTCGGGCGGGTTGGCTGCGGAAAATCCCTTTTGCTCAGGGGTTTATTAGGCGAGGCGATTCAAGTGGCAGGGACGGCGAACATCAAGCCTGATACATCATTCTGCTACTGCGCACAAAGCCCGTGGCTGGAAAATGTATCAGCAGAGCAGAACTTGTTGCAGCGCGGACTAATCTCGTCCGACTCTGAGCTTCAAGCTGCATTGATCAGGCTGTGTGAGCTGGATGATATCGTTCAGGTGCCCGACTACAGGAATGGTGCGGTTGGGAGCAATGGTGTCAGGCTTAGCGGAGGACAACGGCAGAGACTGGTGAGAAGAAATCTTTGCTTTATCGCTCTGTCTACCAGATGTTACTATACATATACATTGGGCCATGGATTTTGTTGAGCTAAATGAACTGACGGTGATCAGGCAATGGCTAGAACGCTTGGGTTGCTAAAGGATGTGATAGTCTTAGACGATGCCTTTAGCGCTTTGGATGAGAGAACCAAATCCAGAATCACAAGTAATATTATGCGACCTACTTTCGGTGGAAAATTTGGAGAGTATTTGACTCAGGCCATAATTCTATACGCAACTCACGATGGTACGGAAACGACCCTTGGCCCCAACCCCATGTCACACAATAGTGAATGAGACGTGAAGTTGACCCATCATGCAGAGAAGATTGCATCTCATGCCGACCACGTGTATGAGATAACCGACGACGGTCACCTAGTGCGGCGACATGATCTCTGCCAAAACAATCATCTGTCCCGTACCCAAGGGTCCGCATCGCTTGCTAGAGAAGACGGAGACTCGCAAGCAAATTTGAAAGACGAAGGCAGCCCATCCACCAACCTAGAGCCTTCACCACCTGGCAACAATGATCCCCAAAAAGACGTAGCGGATCTGACAATATACAAAAAGTATCTTCGTGCAATGGGGTTCTTAAATGCTATTGTGTTCCTCAGCTTGGGCATCGTGCTCGCTGTGACGCTCAAGTTTCCGGGTATGTCAAATCATGATTTCCTTTTCTAGACACGTACTTCAACGTATCGCCAGTGAACTGACCAATTTAGATGTTTGGGTACAAATGTGGACTGATGCACTTTCCAAGGGAGATAACAAGAAGGGCCATAGATTTTGGCTTGGGATCTATGGGCTTTTGGAAGTCCTTCCCCTCATCTCTTTGGTGGGATGGATATGGTGAGCGCACTATTACCCCGTGCTCATCTGCTTAATGTTTTCCAACGTTGCTCATCGTTGAACAGGCACCTTTTCTCCAACGTAGTGCCAGCTGCTGGTCTCTCACTTCACGAGAATCTCTTGCGCACCGTGCTGTGCGCGCCGTTCCCGTTCATAAGCCGGGTCGACAGTGGTAACATCATGAACCGCTTCAACCAAGACCTGATGCTCATAGACTCTTTGCTTCCTTTTGATCTACTCAACACGGTAGAGGAGCTCTTCCTTGCGGTCATACAGGTCATTCTGATTGCGATGGCGTCTGTCCGCACGCTTTCAGTCATCCCTGTGGTTGTTGCAGTCCTCTACTCCATCCAACGCTTCTACCTCCGAACTTCAAAGCAGTTGAGATTGCTCGAGCTGGATGCCAAGGAGGCTTTACATACCAAAATCTCAGATGTTGCCGGCGGATCTGGTCTCTCAACCATTCGCGCACACGGATGGCGGACAGCGTTCCGAGCCGAGTTCATGGATAAGCTGGATCGGTCCCAGGAGCCCGTCTATCTTCTGTACTCGGTCCAACGATGGCTTCAAGTCGTTTTGAACTTGGTCGTGGCCGGACTGGTCGTTGTTATTGCGGGCGTCTGTGTTGCTCTGCGCGGACGAATCAGCGCCGGCTCCGTCGGTGTGTCATTTTTGAACGCCACAACACTGGGAGAGACCTTGACCCAACTCATAATTGCGTGGACATCCTTGGAGACGTCGCTTGGCGCAGTGGCTCGCATCATCTTATTTGAAAGGGGTACACCTAAAGAAGCACAGGGCGAGACGGAGACGGAGTCTGCTAGCATTGCTGCAATCCCCCTGGAACCCCCATCAGGACCGGCCGGCCAGCCTGCTATCTGCTTCGAAAATGTCTGGGCGACTTACGATGAAGGGGCCACTGCTCTAGATTGCGGGACGGGCACAGGGGAAGGCCAAGTATGGGGCCTGCGTGGGGTGAGCCTCGAGGTGGCAGCTGGAGAACGTCTGTTGATCTGTGGCCGCACTGGGTCTGGAAAATCGACAATGTTGCTGGCCCTGCTTCGAATGGTTTACATGCCTATCGGTACCATAAGGATCCAGGGGGTTGATCATTCTCATCTGCCACTTAGTTCTGTGCGTCATGCCTTTCATGTTATTTCACAGGATCGGCTCCAAGAGATAGGAACTTCAATTCGGGAACATGTCGATCCCGAGGACGCATTCCCCGATGACCAAGTGCGCGAATCCCTTGAAGTGTGTGGAATCTGGGAAAAGGTTCGTCGTGCAGGAGGGCTTGTTGCAAACGCGGATGATTGCATACTGTCCTCTGGGGAATCACAATTGCTGTCGGTAGCAAGAGCAATTCTTCACAGCAGAGTGGAAAGAAGTGGCATCGTTCTGCTGGACGAGGCGACGTCAAGGTACGCAAAACTCTCTTGCCAACTACTACCTTTTTGGCACGCACATATACACAGAGTAGTGTGAATTAACTCACAGATGATGCAGTGTCGATCGTGAGACAGAGAAAATGATAGAAGATATAATATTTTCTCGGCTGGAGGGCCACACCATTATTGCTGTCAAACATCCACGTGAAATTAAGACACGGGCTCAATATGACAGAATCGTGGTCATGGATAGTGGAAGAATAATTGATGTAGGGCCCCGGGATGATATTACAAAACGCAGCAATTTGTTTTCTATGCCGGCATCCGGCGAGCAAACAGCAGGACAGATTAGACTAGATTGATGTCTGGCTCTGCTGGCTTGCTCTACCATGTGCTATGCCAGAAGGTGGTCTTCGACATCACTTGGACTTTTTCTACGTATTGAGCAAAGCTTAAAGATTTAAAAATCACGTTTCTTTCAATGCAAGCTGCGGCTCTGCAGATTTAGATGTCGATTGCGCACTTATGATGCTCTTGGGTCCAGATTATCGGCGGATCGTGGTACAGCATTCGCTCTAGCTGACTCTATGGAATCTCCAGGGCTTTAACTATTGTATAATAGAAGAAATTACTTTCATCCGGATTTCTGGACTACAAATCCTGTCTCCAGGAAGTCCAAGTCTGAGTCCAGGAAATAGTATGCCTGGAGCTGCACGGTATCGCTCTATTCGTCCCTCGACATCCTGCGTAAACGCTCTTTCTCCTCTGCTCTCCGGTCTCTCGCCCTCCACCGGGGAACTCTAGGTTGAAATGGTAGTCGCCACCAATTGTATGGATTCCGTTATCCATCCAGGCGCATGCATGCACTTGAACTACGCACAACGTAAGCTTCCAGAGCATTGCAGGCACCAGGGATGAGTATCCAGATCCTTGCACCGGAAGCTTACCCGTGAGTTGCCCGCTCATACCCTACATCAGTTGCTCACCGTGCCTGCTGCATGTTGGAATATCATACATGACAACTGCAGGTCTCTGTTGACCGGATCCGTGTGTGCTATGCAGTAAGTCGTTGCATGCGAGAACCCTGATGGCCAAGTGGTGTTACGGCATTGTCAATCCCTATCCGAACCCATTTACTCAATCATTGAGGCAATGATTTTGCTACCTTGCCGAAATGCGAGTAAATCAGGTTTGATCTTACGTGTGCGTCTCGATGCTGACGTCCTCGCATCCCCAGGAGGACTTTAGAGTCATTACCACGAGCTTGTTGTGCTCAAGCAACCGTCTCCCTTTTGATCTCTGGCATTCTTCCACCTAGCAAGATAGTAATTTGCATCGCACCGCACCATGTCAGATGAAGCCTGCGAAAGCATTCAGCATGGTGAGTTGGGGGAGCAGGG